TTGATGACATGGCCAGCTAGGAGCTATGACTCACGGCTACTACCCAGTGTCACAAGAGAGGCTCTGACCACATATTGCTAGCCCTGGAAAAAGTTAAAACTCAAAATTTTGGAATACGGTTTCTACTGAATGTAAATCACTTGCACACCATGCCAAGTTGGAAAATTATAAATCAGGCCATCATAAGTTGAGCCATTGTAAGTCAAGGACTGTCTATGACCTTGTATTTGGCACCTACAATACTTTTTGTTTTATTTTGTTTTTGAAACAGGATCTTGCTATGTAGCTCAGGCTGGTCTTGAACTCATGATCTGCCTGCCTCAGGCTCCTGAGTGCTGGCATTCGAAGAGTGTACCACCACATTTGGTTACTTTCAGTATCATTTTACCTAGGAATTAGCAAAGAGAAGCTCACTGTTAGAAATTCCTAATTAAGTCAAGCAGATAATAAGCTAGATGGCTAAACTTGAATGGCTTGACCACTGAAGGTCAAGTTCCATGAATTACTGAGGGGAACATTTTTTTTTTTTTTAACATAGGGTAACTTGAAGGCAATCTGACCAGTAAAAAAAACTGCTCTAAGCAAACAGGTAGACGCTACCTTCAATTGCACATGGGTGTTGATCAATATCTGTAGGCTAGTCAATGAAATTAGTGTTTACAAATAAGAATGACGATCCTTTTAATAATTCCATGTTTAGGTGAGCCGTCTTCCTTAAACACTGGATCCAGGTCAGATGGCTTAGTAGTCTAGTTGTCACCTGTGACATCCATTTGCCAGACATTCGGTACACTTTTCTAACTGCTACGATCACTAGCCCTCTCCCATTCCTTCATTACAGTTGAACTTGGAGGGTACCACCCGTTTCTAGTACAGGTTTCAGACATCTGAGGCTGTCTAACTGTTCAAACAGGCCCTTCACTAATGCTGTTTTGCATCCACATATATGTTTTTCTGAAGTAGGGGTTTTGAATTATTTCTGTGTAGATGAAAAAAGAACTCCAGTCCCAAGGAAACTTTTGTGGGGGGGGCGGGGCGGGGAGGAGCTTTACTGGAGTTTGAACTCAGGGCCTCATGCTTGCAGGCAGGCGCCCTACCACTTGAGCCACTCCGTCAGGGTCTTGCAAAATATTTGCACAGACATATTCATGTGGTTTATTTTTAACATACTCTCTTTATGAACCTGTGCTTTGGGTTTCAGAGAAGGAAGAACTTTGGCACTGATAAGACAACTGAAGTTTAAAGGCTGCTTTTTTGTTTGGCTGCCCTAGAAACCTAGGGATGCCCCACACCAAGCTTGGATAGCAATGGTCTGGCTTTCTGCTGACAAGTGCAGTTAGCTAATTGCCCGACACTCCCTTCCACTCCAGCCTCCGAATGGCAGGTGGCTGATTGTTGCTGTGAGCAAGCTTGCAATTAGCCACAAGCAGGTGCACACATTTGCTGGGGGTGGCTTTTTCCACACAAGTGCTCCAGCACACAAGCGTGGCTTTGGTTTTGCCAACCATGTGGCCTTCTCAAAAATGAGGGTGGATGGCAGATTCCTACAGGGCTTTTGAGAGGTGAGTGAAGAAAAACTCAGCCTGTGGAAGGGGGCTGTGAACACCCAAAGGAACCATCGCCTAAAAAAACAGTTGTAGCGGCTAAATGGAGGGTCAGGGCAACTTCTGGAAAACTATGGAAATAAGAATCTGGAATGCCTGAGAGCAGCCCTCAGCCTAGAGAATCAGACAAAATGCAGGCAAGTTCATGGTGACATCTGAACCTGCTGCAATGATAGAGAAAAGCAATGGCTGGTTTGGTCACTAAGAGGTAACAAGTGATGGAGATTTATGGGCATTCCCTCCAGCTGGGACCTGAAGAAACCAGTCCTCCATTACAGTTCTGGTCAAATGCATCTTTAAAATAACATACTCATTGCCATTAGGGTCAGGAGTGTCTAGACGGAGGAGTGCATTTATTGCCAGTGAAAGGCAGAGATGTTCTGATGGAGGCCCACTCCCATCCCCAGCCACTTTCAGGCTGTCACCCTCGACTCTGAGGTTGAGCTTGGTTCATCTAAATGGTGCTGCCTGTCCAGCCAGCTGGAGGACTGCTAAGGGGGAGTCTGTGCTGAAACCAGACCTGGCTTCCCCTACAAGTTCCATGGATCTACTCAAACCAGACCTGGCTTCCCCTACAAGTTCCATGGATCTATTCAGGCTCAGACTCCAGACAAATTCCCCGGGAGAGTGAGCAGATAATCACTCAGCTACTGGCTATCTGCTCAAACGTGAAATCCTGTTTGGTCCAAACTCTGCAAATGATGGGAATCAACCCTCTGGAATAATGTGCCAGTGTTTCTAACACTCTGTGCACTCAGTCTGTGGTCAGTAAGTTCTAACCTCTTGGCTCAGCACTGAGGCACCTCCATTCTGAACAGCTGTTGGAGGGTTGGTGGAGTAGCTCAAGTGGTAGAATGCCTGCCTAGCAAGCATGAGGCCCTCAGTTCAAAAGAAAGTACCCCAGTACCGAAAGATGGAAAAAAAAAAAGAAGCCAGTACGTGTTGAGTACGGATTCAGCCCTTCGTATTTCCAATCTGCAGTTAATTGAATCCATGGATGTAGAACCTACAGCTGAGCAAGGCCAATCAATTGTTTACTTTTCTTCTCTTTCTTTTTGTTTTTCAGAGGTAGTGAGGCTTGAACTCAGGGCTATATACTTGCTAGGCAGGTGCTCTTACTGCCATGCCACAGCCCTTGTTTTGTGATGGGTATTTTCATATATGGTCTCCCAAATTATTTGCCTGGGGCTAGTTTTGAACCTCAATCCTCTGATCTCTTGCTTCCTGAGTAGAATTACAGGCATGAGCCACTGAGGCCTGTCTTGTTTACTTCTTTAAACTAGTTTAAACTCTCCCTCAAATGATCCCTACCACTTTCCTGTTTATGCAGATTTTAGTTGTTTCTTGGTGATTGATTAGTGCAAATAAGAGCTTAATAAATGAGTATCATTGTTATTTAGGATGCTAGCTCATGATTAGCTTCTGGTAATTTATTGATTTATTCAGCTAGCATTTCTAGACAAATTACACCACATCTTACAGCAGGGGTAGGTGATACAAATATCACTTTTTTTTTTTTTCTTTTGTGCCACTGGAGTTTGAACTCAGGGTCTCACGTTTGCAAGGCAGGCACTCTTACTGCTTGAGTCACTCTACCAGTGCATACATAACTGGAGTAAGTTCTAATTGTCTAGAGTGAAAATTATTCTTGAAAATTCTTGGCAATGTGACATGATGAAGAATAAGGTTTTCTTCAAAACTCGCAACACAGGCAGTATTTTTCTCCATTTGAAATGCATAGCCATTTCTCTGTTTGGACTCCAAATAGAGAATTTGCTTGTGTCTGGCAGTTACCCATGAAATGTTTGAATGCTAGAAAAATCTGTGTTGTGAGATGCTTGTGCTTTGTGGGACACAGGACCAAAACCATCTTAAAAGGCAAAAGCTTCAAGTATTCTCATCCTATCTGCTCTCAACTATAAGTTTATTGAAGAGAATGATGGATAAATTTCTCACTCACTTTCCCCCATTCCTGTCTTTCGTCTGACTGCATTTGTGTAAGTTAAAAGTAACTCCATCATATGACACTCAGTTCTACAATTTTGGCATGGGAGATATACTCATTTGTTAAATGAATAAGGACATTTGCTATAAATAGCAACTTCTCACCTACTGAGGTCTTGACTTCCAAAGAAATTAATTATAATACAAAGCCCTAAGTGCACACTAGACTGGATTCACCAGGATCCAAAGTACAACAACATACATGTGGTCGTGATGATGATTGAACAGCAAAAATTGTTGTCCTCGACAGATGTGGCAGTACGTACCAGCACTTGGGAGATGGAGGCAGAAGGATCTTGAACTCAAGACTAACCTGGGCTACAGAATAAGTTTAAGACCAGTCTGGTTATATAGAGATACTGTCTCAAAAACAAACAAACAAACCACCACCACCAAAAACCCAAAAAACACTAAAGGCTGGAGATGTAGCTCAGTTAGTAGAGTACTTACTAGCATGCCTGAAGCTCTGGGTTCAATCCTAGTACTGCCAAAAAAAAAAAAAGGCTTTGAAGGGCAGAGCATAAAATAAATTATTAAGAAAAATAAATATTAATCCTGGGAGTTGACAGTTGACCTTTAATGTGAATAAGGTGGATTGTAGTATATTTTGATTTTCCGGAAGTCCAAACCAGTTTCCCAAGATTGTCAGCATGATTAAGCCTTACTGCTCAGATTTCAAATGAATAGAGAGATTTATTCTTATATAAGAACATGAGCCAAGTGACTTTTTATTTCCTGTAGTAATTCAGAAAGCTAAATCTTTTACCTTTAGGAAGGGCCACAACCCTGGTTTTGAGATGTACCATTGACAGCTACAAATCACAGTGTCTCCAAGCTAGGTGACACTCTCATTGCCTATTCTTATGAAAAGACAGTGAGGTTATGTGTAGTCTGCTCAGTGGGTTCACTTTTTGGTCTGCAGCATGGTTAGGAAACTTGGTGATAGAACCAGAAAGCAGACCTACCCAAGGTACTGAAGGAGAAGCATTTAAACTGACAAAGAAACAGGATTGAGCAACTTCTAAAACAACATAGCAGAACGTGGTCCAAACAAAACCTATCTGGAGGCCATGTTTGGATCCCCAGTTAGATCTGAATGTAGGGCTTATTTGATCAATGAGGCTGAGTGAATGCTTTGGAGCTAACTCATCCTGGGTCCAATGTTTGGTTCATCTTCTTTGGTATCATGATTCACATCGGGGCAAACCCTAGGGAAATGAGTATAAAAATGCATAAGTGATGAATTTCAAAACTTGTCAGTGCTTTCATTTGTAGCTGGGGGTGGAAGCAAAAGGGATGAGAATGCAGTCAAGAGTGTTCATGTCAGTGTTCTCAGCCTCTGCTCTGGGAGTCTGCAAATCATGTAATAAAACATATTGTGTTTCATTTTAGTGATGAAAATGCCAGGAAAGATTTGAAGACACTGCCTGTCTTTCCAACCAAAACCCTGCAGGAGCATCCGTCACTTGCTTACTGGTAAGTCAAGAGAACACCTGGCCTGTAGTCATGGTCTCCATTGAGTACTGTGCACTTATCAGGAAATTAAAAGCAATACAAGTAAAGAAAACAACAAACCATCCATTGCTTGTATCAGAGCAACCACAGGGAGACCCTGATTCTTTCAGTGAATGGATCAAGATCAAAGTTCACTGGAGAGCACTACACCAAGACACATCTTGAGGTCAATTGTAAAGAGCAGCTGTGTGCCCTACCTTTTTTTTTTTTTTTGCTATACTGTGGATTGAACTTCAGGCATGCTAGGCAAACACTCAGCCACTGAGCTAGCTCTCCAGCCCATGCCCTTTCCTTGAAATGTGCAAAATGTCTGTAGCATGTGCTTATAGGGTGAGCATATGATCAACCTGTGTGTGTGATGCAGCCTTAATCCAGCAGAACATTAATGTCATAAAGTACAGATCCCCTAGATCAGAGGTTTTCTTAATGACCAAAGATTTTCTCTATATCCAGGTATCAGTGTACATTTTGAGTTGTTTTACTTGTTTGTTTGATTGGTTGGTTGGTTTTGGGCAGTATTGGGGTTTGAACTAGGGCCTCATCCTTGCTAGGCAGCCACTGTACCACCTGAACCTTGATGCCCCAGCTAGTTGTTTGTATTTTAATGAATCCAGAGTACTAGTTTTCCACTCCACATTTTTTTTTGCTGGAAAATTCCTGTTTTCTTTTGAATTTTTGTATTCCCTTTAAACATAGTCTCCATGAATTCAGTCCCCACGTCATTCCTTTCCACTGAAAGTTACAAAATAAAAATTGTAAAATATTCAACTTTGATCGCTTTAATATGACAATTGGAATATATTTCTCAAATGTACAGTGAAATTGAGTCAGAGGCTTCATTGCATCCTGAGTCTAGAATCTTCTAAATAAATCATTGTTAAATGATAGTTTCTTTTTTTTTCTTTTAGAAAGGCTGATTACTAGTCATATAGAGATAGAAATATTTAGTCTTTTAGGTTACATTGAGATATGACCAGAGAAGCGGACTGTTAAAAGTACGGTGAGGCAGTGGACTGAGATCAAAGGCTGCTGAACTTCAGTTTAAGTGTCCACTTACTGGACAGTAATGAAGGGTTTTCTCCTAATACCGTGTATCCACAAGTGGTAATACAACAGTATTTCAGATTGCACACTGGCTCCAAGCAGTTTGAATACTTTTAAATCTTTCTGAGTAATTCAAGGTGAAAGTCTTTAGTATTAATGCTTGCTGACCTCCCTTTTTAACCAAAGCCAGGACGGTAGGCCTTAAAGGAACAACACTTGATCCCACTCTGTTGCCCAACCAACCTGGTGAGGGCTGTCCCTCTAAGTTTCCTGTAGCTTCTGGAGAAGCCGGAAATGGAGTCCGAATCTCAGAAAACCATATGTCACCACTCTTCTTATTGCCCCATTTTACAGTGAGGACAGAGTCATTGAGCATTATTTGAAAATCAAAGGTCTGACTCGGGGCCAAGCTGTGGTTCAGTAAGTATCTTAATTTCCTTTTTCTTAGATACAATTTTAGTTTCTATTTAAAGAAATCATTAGAAATTATTTTTGTTGAGTAGTTTTGGGGTATTGTTTTCTTCTACTTATAAATATCTTACCATGAAATAGAAAATGTCTTGGGTCATTCTATAGGTTGCTGTCACCAGCTCAGATGCCGATCAGTGTCAGGCAGGTAACAAAAAAGGGGAAATGTAGTCCAGACATAGGGCAATAGGGAGCGGACGAGGACTTCAGTGAAGTAGAGTTTTCACCCTGGGCAGGGACAAGGGAACTTAACTTCAGAGTTCAGATTCAAGATCCTCTGATACTTTGAAAGAAAAGCTGGAAATTCAATGTGGAATTCTACTTTGGGTGGAGCAGACAATGTGTCAGTGTTAGATAACCTGTTTCTTACCTGTTTGGTACCTGTTCTAGGTACCAAAACAACCCAGAATGATGTATTTCTTGGGGAAAGGAGAGTTGGTTTTGTTTTGGGTTTTCCCTTTGTTTTGAGACAGGATCTCACTGTAGAGCACAGGCTGGCCTGGAACTTACCATGTTGCCTGGGCTGGCTTTGAACTCTTAAGTTCTCCTGCTTCTGCTTCCCAATGCTGATTATAGGAGTACATCTGTATGTTTTGACTTGTAGAGTTACCACTAAATTATCAAGAACTGTTCACTTAATACATTAAGCTTCTAAAAATTTAAAAGCAGTTTTAAGTGCATTATTGCTATTGTAAGTTGAAATAAAACAAAATTGCTGGGTATAACATAGGACATATAAGGACTAGGAGTTTAGTTAGGTTACTGAGTAGATTACAAAGCATCCTTGCTTAAGTGCAGTCTTTTACCTGTCTTGATCATTGTGATATGGCCCCTAATAAGAAACTGTTCAACTTCATTGTTAAAACTGGTCTGTGAAGTCCAAGTCACTTTGTTGGAATCCTGGTTTAATTGCTGATGACCTTGGCACTTTTACTTAACCTCTTAAATTCATTTACATGTAGGACATTTACTTTAACAATTATCAAGTTATTGATTACAGTGTTCAGAGAAATTGATCATCAGAATGTCATTAAAAAGCCCACCCAAATTAAATAGGAGCCTCAGTTCCTTGGGGCAGAGGGAAATCTTACACAGTTCAGTCCATTCCAAAGCCTTAAAGGTGTACAATAAATACTTCTTGAACTAAACTAGCAAATGGTGGCATCATTCTCATATTTTTTTTGGGGGGGTGTGCCTTTTAAAGTACATATTTCTAAGAATTGTGACAAATGTTTACATATTTGCAAGCTCGATCACAATCAAAACATAGAAAAATGCTTTTTTAAATTTACTTATTGTAAATATGACCCAAAAGTTGATTACTATTGCTTGTATCATTATGCACTTACTTTAAAAATGTTTGCAGTTTAAATTTTTCCTACAGTGTCTTTCTGAGTCATAGATATCTTCAGGGGCAGAAAGTAACCTTTCCTGTGACTTTTTGAACTTGAACTTCTGTTAGAAACATTGTAACGTTTGGATGAGGTATAAACTCATTACTACCTGTAAAAGTTTATTCTATTTGTACTTGAGTGAAAGACATTCGTCACAGTTTGAGGAAAGTAGAGACACGATGTATTTCCTTAAGTCACTTTTCCCAACAGGGCCCTTTACCCGTTGTAATGAGGTTATAATGTTTGTCTATTTTCTGTAGGTATATGAAAATAGTAGAAGCTCTGCCAACTTATGGAGTCCATTATTATGCGGTGAAGGTAAATAGTTTTAACATTACAAAGCTTTCCTAATGCCCATGATACTTTCTGAGAGTTACTGAATAATACCGAGTTTCTGAAGTCACATACAGCAATATGCGAACATATGTAAACTCTGTCTAGCAATGGCAGCATTTTGCATAGGATTGAAAATCTTCGAATTTTAAACCCGGATTTTATCTTGTCATTTTTAACAGATAAAAAGCATGTTACTTTTTCAGAATATTTAATACATTCAGATGTTTTCCTAAGGCCTCTCTTGGTCTTAAGATATTGGGGTCATTATTTCTTATTTCTTTTTTTTTCTTTGTTCTGGGATCGAACCCAGGGTCTCAAGCTAATCATGTGCTAGCTAGCTATACCCCAAGCCTAGAACGTCTCCTTGGAACACCCACCTTTGCTGATCGTTGCTTTCTACTTGTTCATTTCTTTGGTGCCACTAGGTCTTCATTTGATAGTTCTATATGAGAATCATGCAGTGTGTGTGATATTTGCATAGGATTTTCACTTTGTTCATAAGCAGGAAGAAGTTGACTAAAATATATATGGTAAAATGTAACAGATAAAGCGTTAAGAAGGGAGTCTTGTTTGAAAGAGGAAAAATTTTATAATTAATCCATTCTTGAGTGACTTTTGGTGTTATGACATTGACGTCTTTATCATTGAAGATATGGGGAAATATGCATGCTTGCATGGTGAGAACACCCTTATTAAAAATACGCACCAATGTAATTTTAGTTTCTACTAATTCTGATTTGCGTGTAGGTAACGTCTAAGCATAAATTTTCCTTTACTATGTCAAGGTCCTTTCCTTTGGCAAGACTGAAAACATAAATTTATGAAAAAATATATTTGTCCTCTCCTCAAAATGATTATTCACACATCCTGGTATTGAGTTATACTGTTCTGCACAAGGGTTTTGTTTTGTTTTTTGGATGTTCCCATGTTCATTGTTAATTGTATTATAAACATTAGGATTTGGAACTACTTTTCTCATGGTTATAATTCTTTGGAAACTTCCCTCCCCTTTATATCTGGTTACTAATTGAGAGAACAAAGAGTTTTCATTCTTTTTTTTTTTTTTAATGGATAACTAACTTTGTACTGGATTCATTCCTGGTTGAATTGCTTAGATTTTATTTGTTCTGTCTAAATATTTAATCAAAGCAATAATGCTTCTTTTTGATGGTGTTAAAAGTATTGGTCTCTTTTGACTTATATAACTTATTTGAAGAAACATAAGATAACATTTTAACAAGTTAAGTTTCTAAGTAGAGTTTTGTTTACCAAGACAACTTTGCTTTGACCTGTTGATACTTGTTCAGAAAGGAAATTGGTAAATACTGCTTCACCTCTAGAAGACTTAACAATTAGGTCTTGGTTCTCATGGTTTTCCATCTTCTAGGATAAACAAGGACTTCCTTGGTGGCTTGGAATCAGCTATAAAGGAATCGGCCAGTATGATTTACAAGATAAGGTGAAGCCTCGGAAAGTAAGTGCAACCCATTTCAGGTACTTGTGAGGACCTGGAACTGTTCTAGAGCTGGCAACATCTTCTTTGTTTCAGAGTTATCTTCAGTAAACATGTCTGCTTTGGATAAAAAGAAATCAGTAATGCACTGCTTATTAAAGGATTATAGTCTATCAGATTTGAGTGTTCTAGACTTAAATATGGTACACTATTTTTCATTTAAGATTTTATTTTGAAGCTGGTTGTCTTGACTGAAGCGTAAGCATTCAGTACGTTTTTGCTTGTACATGAACTGATGAATCCACACAGATCACTGTCCAGGTGCTGTTGGCCTCCTTAGTATTACAGTGACAAGAAAGAGTGACTCATGCTGCCCTGGTTGGTTTTGCTGCCATCCCTGTGCTCTGCTGCCGTTCCTGGCAACTGCAGAAGTAAAGCAATGGCCTCTAATAAAAGACCATGGTCAGCCTACCTGCATTATGTCAGCCCGACATCACAGCCATAAATAATAATTGCTATCACGCCCATCTGTCTCTTGCTCTGTCCTTCATAAAGTAGCCCTGAATCATTCCACACCACTCTGCATCTTCTGAATGTCTTTCTAATGTCAGTCAATGCTCACAGTCTTCCTTATTATCACTTATGTCTGTCTCCCTTCTTGTCACATTTTTATGGTTGCAATGTTAACACACATAACACAAGGATGGCCTTGGGCCTTGGGCAGATCATGGCCCATTTTCCAATGTTGATCCAACTCTCTTGGGCCACACTAGTTGGCACTGAGGCGTCTTATCAGAAATTATCAATGAAAATAAGAAGGCTTCATTCAACAATCAGTATCAACCTGTACAAGGGACAAAAGAGACATGTGTGGGGCTGGGAAGTGGCTCAAGTGGTAGAGCACCTGCCTAACAAGCACAGGGCCCTGAGAGAGTGCGAGAGCACATATGAAGTCATGCAATTAGCATTTTATTTCCATATGCAAAATCAATTTATGTGAGAAATACATACTTAATTTCCAGGAGAAATATGAGTAATGTTATTTCTGCTTATATTTGACAATTTATTCTTAATACCAAATTTTCTAATTTAACAGTAGAAATGAAGGACACCCAATTTTTAAAAATATTTTTCTAGTCATTTTCATTTATAATTACCTATTTTTTAACCAACGGTAATACATATTCATCGTAAAACACCAAAAGCAAACACTAGAAATGTCTGTTAGGGCAGAAGTCTTTTTTGTTTTGTTTTATTATTCATATGTGCATACAATGTTTGGGTCATTTCTCCTCCCTTCCCCCATCCCCTCCCTAACCCTATAAGGGTTGTTTTTTGGGTTTTGTTTTGTTTTGTTTTGTGGTACTGGGGTTTGAACTCAGGGCCTCACGCTTGCTAGGCAGGTGCTCTACCGCTTGAGCGACTCTACCAGTCCCAAGGGCAGAAGTCTTTCTTCAGTCTCCCTCTGCCCTGTGGGAACCACTGTCAAGAGACTGACCCTGGTTCATTTAGACTTTACAAAGAGAGAAATCTTACAACACACTGTTCCATACCATGCTGTATTTGTCCAGTGCACTTGTAAACCAATTTCTTTTCATTATCTAGTGAAAGCTAGTGGACACACATAATTTATTTAACCAATTCTCTTTTCATGGACATTACGGTTTTTATGGGGAGGGCACAGAATGGGGGGAGGGGTTGCAGAGCATAATAAAGAATCCTAGCCAAGGCAATCCAATCCTAACTTAAGTATATCCACTTCATAGACTATTGCCTATCATGTATTTTTAAGATAGACTTCACCTATATTAATATATATATATATATATAATTTTTTTTTTTTTGCTAATTTAATTCCCTCCTGAATCTTCTAGAAATAACATTCAGGAGTCTTGCTGGGCTCTTCTGAATCTTGCATATAAAATATAACTTAAATCATCTTGTAAGTAATTTCTCACCTCACATGGCTTGATAAGATTGCAATTCCCTCAGAAAGTAAATGCACCCCAAAGAAAGCAATCAGATTTTCTCCCAAAATAGCAGTGAGTCAGAATCCACACAGTAAATATTACACTAATTTCCTCTCCTAGGCTTGTGACTCACAAGCCTTTCTTTACATTCACAGCTTCATAAAAATCGGTATATACTGCTTGACACTGATCACAGTCAGGTGGCGCATTCACTCCAACCCTTGACAAAGGTCAGAAGCCACTTCCTTTTTTCCACTTGCAGAGTTTTCCTCTTTCATGTTCAAGACATGCCACTCTTTTTTTTGCTGTCTCTTTTTCCATTATTTTAGGAGGTGTCCACTCTGTTCCATTGTTTGCTTCCTGCTTTCTTTGACAATGGATTTTGCTTCCATATCCTTATTACTTTCTGTGCCCTAAAAACTTGAGCTTACTGGAGAGCAGCTCCCATTTCCTAGACCTTTCCTAGCCCAGTTTAACCAATTTAAGAATAACTTAAAGGGCTGGGAGTACTGACATGATAGAAGGATCAGACTTCAGCTGCTTGTATGGGCCTGGGCATGCAGCAAGTTAATCAGTGGTCAGGCAGGAATCAAGGTCCTATTGCCAACTCCAGTGGAACAAATGCCCAGCCTCTGTAGCCACATGCCTATCTTATTATAGTGTGGTTTAGAAGCAGGCCAGGAGGAAGATTTACTAAGAATCATACGGACAGATCCAAAAGGCTGTTTTAAAAAGGGATGTTCCAAGATCCACCAACAGAGGCCTGCCAGCCTTTTTAGACAGTGTGTTGATTACTGCCTGTGTATACAGGGCACTGTGATTGTTTTACTTACCAGAGCGCCCAGGTAGTGCCCTTCATCTTAGCTGTAGAGATTTCTTGTCTGTCCAGGAGGCCAAAAATTTGTTTCCATCAGTGTATACAATAAATAATGCAGGGTGAGAGTTTGGGAGGACATCCCAGACCCTGTCCCTGATGTCTGTTTGCCCTTGGGCAGGTTATTTGGTTTTTCTTTAAATTTGCTTTCCTAATCTACACAATGGTCACACCGCTACCTGTATAGGGTGGCTGTAAGAACTAAGTTGGATTATATTTAGTACCACACCTGATACACAGTCATCACTAGGAACTGGGAGTGAAGGAGGCAGTCAATTGAAGAGTGTATGGGAACTACCTTTGGATCACTGTTTAGGTAGAGAGGACCCAAAATTCACAGTCCTGGTGAAATAAGAAGTCCTTATTCTCAGAGATTTTTAAACCCTTCTCCTAATCCCTTAACCCTAATGCCCAAAGGTGTGATGCATATGAAGAGAAAAAAGTTAAATCCTGAGTTACAAACCACAAATATTCAGAGAATTAAAATTTAGATCATAAGCAATTTTACTTTTGAATCCTCCCTTTATGCATGAAATGTGTATTGCAAACTCTTATGGAAGGTGAAAACATGCCAAAACTCAGATCCAAATGGCAGGGCATTTGGACTTTAAAAGTAAAACTTTTAAAGTTTTACTTTGTTTACTTTTAAAGTTTTACTTTAGAAAAAAACAACTTTTGCTCTTGCAGGCTTTCATTGTTCTTTTAGAGTTTCCAGAAAAAATATCTGTTCTTTGTAAAGAAGTAGACAGTACGCCCACTGGCTAAGTATATTTGTGACTGACTGGTATCCCTCAGGCAAAAATTTCACCTGGGAAAACAAGGGCCTGTCAGGTGACAGAGGTGGTGAATGAAATGGCGTGCTAGTCAAGGTCCTAACTAGACCATCCTGGGAGGAAGTGCCTTTGATGATTAACATCTTTTTGCACTGTAACATGCTAAGAAAGTCTTGTGAAGAACTCTGTCACCCCAGGACCTTTGAAGCTGGGAGAAGGTTCTTGGCCTTCAATTAACAGATTTTTTTTTTTTTTAAACTGGTGGAATTCCCTAATACCTAGAGCCAGATGAATTAGGTAACAACCACAAAAGCCTTCTGTTCCCTTGTCATAAAACTACAGGGTTTCTTTTATTTAAAGGCAGTGACTTGCTTATTTTAACCATGGCCCTTAGCCATCTTGGCCTTGATCTTTCTACCACCAACTTCTTATCCTGGACCTCGATCAGAAGGTGCTTCTAATACTGCTTCAGTTCTAGCTGAGGTTAACCGGGGAGGGGGGCGGGGAGAGGAGACGTATGTATCTAATCACATTTTCTACATTAATACAAATAAAGTATGGTGTGAAAGAGAAAGATTGGATTACAAAATGTCCTCTGGAGACCTGTCCATCCTGTTTGTAAAGTGTGTAATTAAGCTTCAGTCACACCAATAATCAATCTGATTATTAAAACCTGCAGAGCAATGGGTGGAAAACTCTAGTCCGTACAGCATGGATTTGGAAATAGGAACCAGTTCTGCATTCCCACTGACCAGCTATCTGACCTAGAAGTGGCACTTAACCCTTCTGGTCCTTCATTTTCTCATGTATCATATTCAAATAACTCTGTTTATTCTGTATCTCACAGTGTTGTAATTAAGCTTCAGTCACACCAATAATCAATCTGATTATTAAAACCTGCAGAGCCAATGGGTGGAAAACTCTAGTCCTACAGCATGGATTTGAAATAGAACCAGTCTTCTGCATTCCCCACTGACCAAGCTATCTGACCTAGAAGTGGCACTTAACCCTTCTGGTCCTCATTTTCTCACTGTATCATATTCAAATTAACTCTGTTTATTCTGTATCTCACAGAGTTCATGAGTTAGGGAATTTTTTCACTGAGTAGATATGTTTCCCTACACTGTTAATTCATAGCAGCATACTAGAGCTATGGAATTTTCTCCCTTCCTATAGATAATCACAGAACAGTTCTAACATGAGGAATGTTCCAAAATTTGCCTGGTATTGCTGAAGAAGGTGGAAAGAGTCCCAGAGCAAGCCCCTTGATCATCGTGAAGTCACCATGTCTCATTTCAAGGAGACTTAGAAGTATTGTCTCTAGGTGGGTGGCCATGGCCAAAGACCCAAACTGAAGATGTTCTGCTGCCAAAAGGAAGTACAACAAAATAGCCTGAGAGAGAT